TAGTATTCCATTGTATAAGTAGTATTCCATTGCAGTTTTATTCTTGACATATGAAAAGAGGGAATAAAAAGTAAAGTAGAAAGTGATTACTGGTTAGTTTCTTCAGCATCTCCCTCATGCAGAGATAAGATCAGTTCAAAGGTCTATGCTGAAAGCATGGATTACTTTTTATTGTTTAATTATTTACTATGGATCCTGCCTTGTTTCAAAAGGGATTTAAAAATGATTACTAAATAAATAATAGTCAACAAGGTAAGTTCAAATTGTTGCAAAAGATGAAACATAAAGTGTAGGGCATCAGCTAGTAGATTCCCCAGCCTCGCCTTGGATTATGCTAATTAGGGGATCTGTGTTCTGGAAAAGACATCTGTGGATGTTACCTCCCACTGTAGATCATTTAGGAGTACCTGTAATATTTCATGAAGTTGAAATTTTATTTCTCATGAACTTATAAACTTGTTTCTAAACAGCAACTTCTCTTAATTAGTAACTAAATTCTCTGTTGTAATAAAGGAGTAATTTATGACTATGTGGGAAAAAAAGGGTAATTTTCAACTCGTACCTTACTGAATAATTGCAAAATTTCTTTCCTACACTATTCACCAGAGTTACTCTTGACTGAAACTCAGTAGCATTATGTCTTCTCATTGCTACTTTTCAAATATATATATCTTTATGAAGAGATTGAAGTGAGGATTTTAAAATGTGAGGCTTAGAAATAAAAAAAATGAGAACATAGAAATTCCATTAGGGTAATAAACCGGCATGTGAAGAACCAGATCATAAAATGAACTTTTTATTTTCTAACAAAATGAATTTTCAGGGAGAAACAATACAATGAACAAGTTTTGCAGAAACAGCAACTTGAAAGCACTCTCCAACCACTAGAATTTGAACTGAAGAGCAGAAGGAATAAACTGAGTCAGGTAAATTAGTCTTAGGTGAAAATTTCATATCTCTAACACTGTTTCAACAATATTATTTATAATATTCCTTTGAATTAATCTATATTTTTATTTAAAACAAATTTAAAAAGTTATCTCATCCTAAATATGAACTATGACATTTAGAGCTTAAC